AAAGTCATCCCGAATTCCAAGGACTTTAACATAAGGATTATTCAGTAACCTTAGCAGGGAGAGGTTCAAATGAAAGGCAAGGGTTTCATAAAAAAACCCGATTTATTGCAGGTATAATGAGTCACTCTTTAAATATCATTCTACAAATCTGCGTAAATTGCACTTTGTATAAAAAATATAAGCATTGTTTCCTGCAGATATCTCAGAAAATACTATGCGAGAAAAAATTTATATAGAATCAATCAAGCTCTGATCGCGACTTAAAGCCGCAACAAGGGATAGAAACCTGACCCAAGACAATATCCATCATTTTCTAGGATCAGGTTGCGGCTTGATTGATAAGCTTAGATCGCTTTAAATCGAAAAGTATCAGCTTGTCCTGGAATTAAAAGCGACCAGTATGCAGTGCTGAGTTAATGGTCATGCTATTGGTCTAAAAATTGCGAACACTAAACCTCCATGATCCCTTGCCCAACAAATTGGCTATTGCGGGAGGGTTTTACTTTTTATTTAATATAGTTGATCATAAATTAAGTATGATTATTCTTTCTAGAAAATGTTAATAAATTGAGCAGAAAAAAAAATTTAAACATCAAATAAAGAATAGTAGACCAACAGGACCAAAGTTCGGGGAAAAGGGTTATTTGCAAAATGCTCTTTTTCAATTTTATTTTTTAATTTAATTTTATTTACTTTTCTTTCTTTTTTTTTAAAGAAAATTCCTTCTTATCTTTGATCAACAATATCCCTGACAAAAGTGTAAGGAAGAATTTCAGTGACATATTTTGTTATTAAAAAGCTAAGAAAAATTGCAAATTTTTTTTTATTGATGGATATAAATTACTGACATTATTTATTTATAAAATTATACACCTTTTCCTTCTTTTCCAGTTCTAAATTTTAAGTCTTTTTTATTTTATTTCCTAGCTATTATTATTTTTACCTAAATGGAGTAAAATAAATAGTTCACTAACGTTATATAAAAACCAAATAAGGGTAAAATGTTGCTAGTCTTGTTGCTTTTCTTCTTCCTTACCTAAATTATATATTTCTTCAAAGGATGATATAAAATTCACTTATTTTTAAATTATTAAGGTTCAGCCTAAATGTTATAACTTTGATTTAATAAAAGCATATTATCAAGCATACTTTTTTAGAAATTAATCAAACTACTATTTAAAGTTTTAACAAATAATTAATAATATTAAACTTTACGATTTATTAACTCATTAATAAAAACAGGAAAAATTTACTTTTAAATTTACGAAATGCTTACACAGGCTGCAAGAAAAGAAATAGAGTTTATTCTTTATTCTAAATAATTTATTTCAGAGATCTTTATTTCAAATTCATCTTGATAAAATTAACATAAGTTTTTTTTAAAATCTACTGTGCCTTTTCAATAACAGAAAAAGTATGCTTGCACAAATAATTATTCAATCCTTATAGAGAAAAAGCATGCACATTTTATTCCTGAAGACACTGTCAATCAGAGGAGAATTACTTAATGGTGTATAGATCAGTAATGATTTCTAATTTTAACAGATGATCCCTCTCTTTGTAAATTTTAAATTTTAGCTTTCTCAAGGCACACAGTAGGGCGGAAAAGCACTAGTATAACGTTCCAGCACTTCCCTAGAAGCCCAAACACTGTTCCAGGACTTTGAGTATTTTTTTTTTTTTTAGAATTTTGGTCAAGATTGAAGTAAAAACAATATAGACCTACACTTTAAGAATTGTAAATAAATATTTAGGCAAGGAAAAAATGCAAACGTTATAAAAATCTAACGAATTATTACTGGGATGGCAGTACTGAAAACAAGAACAGTTAAGTTTTTTCATAAAACTTGAATGTGTTTTTTAATAAAAACTCCTCAATAATCAAACAGACTTTGATTTTTTCAATTCCACCTCTTAGAGATACATAAGATTTCAATTGCATTTGTTGATCGATTATTCCAGTTAAAATATCAATTTGTTCCCCTTAAGTGTGTATATTTCTTTTAATTTCTTCTTCTTGGATACTACAGCCTATGACAAGCCAAGGCTGTCCCAATAAGTTTTTGCCATCTTGATCTATATTGCGCCATGGCCTTCCAGTTAGTTATTCCCATTATTTTACTCTTTGGGATTTCTGAACTATGGATTTTTTTACAGGGTGGGGAAGTTGGTCCCATGCCCAACCCCCTACCTGGAGGACCAGTCTCCTGATATAATCCCCAGGGGCAGGGTACCCAGCTATTTAATTTATTCTAAACAGTTATTTTAAAAGAACATAGTAAGGGAGGTAATTACAAAATACCGGTTATATTAGGTTGAGTGAATATTTCAGAATTTATATTGCAATTATAGAATTCATATTCCTTTTTAGAATTATGCTCCATATTGGATAGAAAGCAAATTAGCAAATAACTTTAAATTTCTTCTTCGTCCTCCTCCTATCTATTCCCAGTAAACTGCATTCTGGGTAAAAAGAAATTTGCACTGCAGTACTGAGGTACACACTCTATTATTATTATAAGAACACTACATGAAATCATAAATAAAATACAAAATCATTGCAGCACTACAAATATTTCATGTCAAAAGTTAGGAACCACTGCTTTACATTCTGGGTAAAGAAATTTGTGTTATTTTTACAAGCTCATAAGCCAGAGTTCTACCTAAGAATAAAAAAGGGCACTTTGAATTTTGAAAGGGCATTTGCTCAGTAAAAATTTATTAAATTGTGTAATATTATGTAATAACTGAATTTGATCCTCAAAAATTTTTAAATTACCCTCTTATACAATTTTATGTACATATTTCAATAAGTTATTCTCACATAATATCAAAACAAAAGAAAAATTTGTAGCTCTAAAAAACAATTGAAGGCATGCTAAAAGACAATCTCTAAGCATAATTTTTTTTTTCAAAAAAACAAAAAAACAAAAAATTGGAAAAAATTATTAATTGACAAATAATTTGAAAGTTTTTTTCTACATCTTAAAACTGAAAATTTAACATTTAACAGTGAGTTTTTTTTTAAAAAAAAAAATTTATTTAAAGAAAAAAGAGAGATTTAACCAGTTGAAAATAATTCTAACAAAGTAAATATTTGTTTATAGGTTTTGTTAATGGTATTCATTCAACTGAAGCAAATTCAAAATTTTTCGCTGCTTTTGATATTATTTGCCTGTTATATTATTCATAATTAGAAAAATCTTTTAGTAAATGTAGAAATTATGAACCTACAATAGTAGGTAAAAAGTAGTATAGATTAATAAAAACTACAACTTTAATATACACAGTTAATGAGTTAAGCTACAGTTGCTTTCAATGTTAGAAGGTGCTTTATATATTGTTTATAATTAGGAAAATCACTTAGTGAACCTACAATAATATATGCAAAAATAGTACATTAATAGGAGATAGAAAACTATCCTGTCAAAACAGTATTTTAGACATAATTGCTTGATGAATATAATTGTTGAACAATATGCTTTGTAAAAAATAACGAAAAAAAATTATGAATGAAACTTTTAACTGTTATCAATTTCAGTATGTGCACTACATATTAAACAACATAGTTTGGAAAATCACTTAGTAAATATTTAACTTATGAACCTACAATTATACAGAAAAAGTATTATATTATATATTGATAAAGGATAACAAAAACTCCTGTCAATTTATTATTTCAGTTACGCCACATCTTATTTTGTAAAAAGAAATCTTAATAAAAAATTACTTTATTTAAAAAAATTTTTTTCTTTCTTATATTTCTTTTTTGTCTTACAAGCTACTCATAGTCAGGAAATCACTTAGTAAATAATCAACTTATTTAACAAAAATTTTACGCAAAAATAACATTATAATAGACTTTGCAAAAGTATTGTTAAATGCACGATAAATATTAAATGTTTTTGCATAACAACGAAAGTAGTTAATCATAGAAAAAAAATTGAAAGCAAAGCTTATTTCTCATAACATTAATCTATTCTAGAGCTCTATGAAGCAATAAAAATACTTACTTCTCAGACTTTGGATATTCAGGAAATTTAGCTTGTATCATGTCCTGTAAAGTTCTGATACAAAGCGGCTCAGCTGAAATTCCCAATGCTCTACGCTTTCTTCGTCCATTAAAATTGTTCAAATTAAGGTTCGGACTGAACACTGACTGATATTTGTCCAATAAGCACCTGAGTCTCTGAATTTCTTCATCCTTTTCATGTAAAAGTTCTTTTAGTCTATCAATTACTTTTTGTTGCTTGAAAATAACGTCTTGAACGTCTTCTTCTGTATCCATTTGTATAGGCGACATTGGCATTGCTAATGCAATTGCTTAAGTTTCAAATATTACAAATAAAATAAAAATTAGAAAATAAACTTATAACTTAAAGTTATTTTAAGAATGTCACTATATCATGATGAGAAACATCATTCATCACATTGTCTCTAATACTTTCATTGTGTTACATATTTGAGATAACGATGCAAATTAACTGAATGAGCATCCCAAACACACTTGTTGATTTCAACTTTAAAGAAAAAACTTGTAAATAACAAACTGTTGCTGAGGCTAAGAGAAAATAATCACGTGTTTCTTGTACCTAAAGCCGCAAAAGTTTCACACTACCTTCAGCGCTAACTTGTTTACCCTATCTGTTTATAGCAGCCGAAGTCAAACAGTCCAGGTATTTAAACAGCACGCAAAACTCATACAAATCTAAAAATAGAACTTGATTCTGTACCTCCAGATTTCTGTAGCAGAAGATAAGTAGAGATGAGTTGAGTAGTTTCTGAAAATACTAATCTGAGGCTTTTATAATAGCTCGTTACTTAAAAAAAATGCACTTAACTCAATTTTCAAATTTAATCTCAATTAAAAATATTTCAGATCATTGTATGAATTTTTCTTTACAAAAGTCTCTAAAAATTAAAATTTTTAGATTCATTTTGTGAAGAAAAAAAACACACGGTTATTTTATTTTAAATTAACTGTAACCCTACTGTACTTCATCAAAATCAAAACAAAGCAAATTTATTATGATTTCGCGGGAATTCTGTTTGATAGGCGTTTAAATTTAAGTTGGGCATTAAACTTTAGTTGCTTTTTAAATTAGTGCTTATTATAAAATGAGTGCTGTAGCAAAGAAGAGAAAAATGAATTCTGATCTGCCTTTATGCAAATATGGAGCTGATTGTTATCGTAAAAGTTCTGATCATCGCAAAAAATTTCACCATCCTAGAACAAACAAAGAGGTTTTTTTTGTCAAATATACACTTTATTCTTTTATTTTAATCTTATAAGATAACGATTAAAGTTTATTTGTAATGTTACATTCATTTATTTAATAAATATGCTTCCTGCAATTCAAATTATTTTGACCTCTGTAATTCTAAAACATCGAAAATCAACAAATTTTTATGCTTCATTTTTAAATGTCAGTAATTATGCAGTAATATATGATAATATATAATAAATGCTTTCCTTAAGCACTACTCTTTCGCCTATAACTTAAATAACCAATAAACTTATCTTTGTTTATTATATCCAATGTCAAATTATAGTATACTAACTAGAACCAAGAAATGTTTTTAAAATAGTTTTTATGTGTATACAAGGTGCTCATATATTTTTAAATTGCTTCTTAAGAAAGGATACATATAACAGAGTTAGCGAATTATATGTATACAAAAATAAAATCAAATTAGTGCGACAAAATAAATTAAGGTAAATATTAATGGAAATCTTTGAAGTTTTTTTTCTACTTCCTTAAATCAATCTCCATTGTTTTAATTATGTACCAGAGAATTTATTTATTTTTTTGCAAAAAGATCTTCATTTTCAATGTTAAAAAAATGTGTGTGCCACCAGTAGTTTTATTTAAAGAGGATTGACATTTTTTTATTTGTGTTTGCTGAAAAAGAAATTTAAATCTAAACATGTAATTATAGAATTGAATTTATTTGTTATGTTATCTATTAATTTTTTTATTATGGTATTATATTCTCTAAATAAGTTTAATAATATAGTGGTGATGTTTTTCAAACTAATTTAAGAGAATTACTTCACCAAAAGTGGTAAATTTAACAATCTTTTTAAATTTTATTATAGAATTGATTTTATGTATCATATTATTTTTTTTAAGTAAATTTTTTAGTAGAGTGAAAGTGTTCTTCAAAATAATTTTTTAAGTGGACTTATAAGCCAAATTGGTAAAATCTTAGAATTTCTTTAAATTTAGTTTCATTTTCATAAGCACCAATTTAAAAATAAGTGAAAAGAATAATTCTGAATATTTTTATTATTATACATAGAGATACATTTTTTATACAGACTTTTAGATACATTTTTTAGAGAAAGACCAGAAATAGTCTAAAAACGCAGTTATTTTAAGAATATTTCTGGGTTTAAGGTTTTTCATGACAAAAATATTTAAAAGTAAATTACTATGAAGTAAAATTATCTTTTTCTATGAAGTAATATAATCTTAAGACTAAAAAAAAAATAATTAAAACATATCACTTAAATTTTTTAATGAGACATAAAAAGTTCAAAATAAATAAATTTGTGAATGATATTAATTTTCTGCCTTAATTATTTTTTGTAAAATCAAATTTTCTTCTGAAAATTTAACTTGTGCTTCCATTTTAGCTGCAGACTTCAACATCAGAGGATACAACACAAAAAGAATTGGAGAAAAATATGAAGATTTCTAGCAAAGCTAAAAAGGGGGAAAGCAATGATGTTCTTGATGGAAAAATTGAAGCTGAACAAGCTTTGCCTGAAGTAGATAAATCAGAGTTCAAATTTGTTGAAACTGTTGAAGAAGTTCTTAATAATATGCCAAAGGATTTTTCTGACTTTTGGAAATTTTGCTGTACTTTGAACAAAGCAAAACCGGAAGGTTAATATGTATATATATGTTGTAATATTTTAAATTCTATATTCATTCACTCTTAAAATCTGTTAAAATTTTTTTCTTTAATGTCTGTATAATTTTTTGGGTTTAGCTGTACTCTATTAGAGTTTAAAGCTTATAAAATGTTCATATATATAAATATTAAAAAAGAAAAGAAATTCATTTGTATTATTTAAAAATTAGAAAAAGTTATGTTATTGAAAAATAATTGTCAACTTATTTTTTTCACTTAAAATATATCTTAGGAAAGTGAAATTCCAGTACCAAATATTTGATTGATCAATTTAATAGGTATTATTAAGGAATACGCTTTCTATTCTCAAATTAAAATCTTTATTGTTATGCTAAGCCTAATATTCTTTTTTTTAATTTTTAAATAGAGTAAACTTATTCTCTTGACCACCGTTCATTCTAGACGAGGTTTGAGTGGCCGACCACCTCTTTTACCCTTTGAATGAAAAGATTTTATTTGTGGCAATTTTTTGTGTATCCGAATGGTTTTACAATCATTTCTTTGGCAGAAATTAATCAGCCCCTTTCTTATGGTTTTTTAATTTCAAATATTAATAACAGGGTTGGAGTTTTTGCCGGCAAAAAGGGGTTTTTGCCAGGACAGTCGCAAAAACCTGGTAAAAACCGGCGAAAACTGGTAAAAACCGGCAAAAACCAAATTATCTAAATTGCTGATTAAATATTATTACAAAATACTTGAAACAAATTTAAATCAATCATAAGGAATAATAATTTTGATACATTACATGAAAAAATTATTTTTAACATATTGATAATTAATATAATGGTAATAATTTTTAAAAGATTGAAAGTTTGTGATCTCTTTTCATTTTATAATCCTAAAATAAATGTTTTTTTACAAGTAAATAAAGATTATTATTTGTATAATATTATTATTTATTATAAAAAATTATTATTTGTACAATAATTAACTACACATATTGATAGATATTTTATGTTTTAAATTATAGTTATATTAATTTAAAATAAGTTCATTTCACTGGAAAAAAAAGAATAATCACAAATTTTCCAATCAATAATGTTTTAAACTACTAAAATGATATATTATTACATTATCATTTAATTATGGAATGATAATTTTGTTAATTTTTTTGTAATTATTTATATTTATAGTATATATTTCAATTTTAGGAATAATTTTGTATAAAAAATGTGTTTTTGTCCTCTCATCTTGGAAAATATAGGTTTTTGCCAATTTGCTTGGCAAAAACCTGTTTTTGCCAGGACGGTTTTTACCGGTATTTACCATGGTTTTTTTCCACCTGCGGCAAAATCTTGCCAACCCTGATTAATAATGTAACATAATTACGATGAGCAAATTTTGAATTTTATTTATCCTTTTTTGACAGTTTTTATTTGTGAGCATTTCATCATAATTTTTTGTTGTTGGATGATAGTTTTCAAGTCTTTATTTATTTGCCTTTTTCGTGTGAGTTTTCGAATTTCAGTTACCTTTTTTTTACTCGCTCGATAATCAGGGATCTCAATATAAATCCTTATTGTTTCCAATTGCTTTTATTACAGTTTATTATTTTTCTTTCAACCATTTTGACAAAGTTTTTAAAATTCAAATAATATGCCCTAGCATCTAATTTTTTTATTATTGACACACAACCTTTTAATTTGAAAATTCGGCTAAAATTAAAAACCTAATTATAGAATTCATGAGGAATACTTTTGAAGTTAAATTTATTCTCTTGGAATAAGTATTTTTCTTTTTATTAATAAAATTTTGAATATTGTATATTTTTCGTTTCTTAGAAGCTTAATTTTTATAAACTATAATGCTCTTTTAAATTCCCAGCGACTTACCCTTTTTAAGATTTGGAAAAACTGAGCTCTTGCAATACTTTTCATTATTATAATACTATTCATATCTAAGTGCTTAGATGTAATGGTATGGAGATAATTAGATATAATCATTATAATTGCTAAATATGAAGAATAACAATGAAAATTTTAAATTTAAAGTGTGTTGCCATAATTACAAAAATATAATTAAATTGTCAAACCAGAGTTCGCCCTAGGAATAAAAGAGGGCTGGGTACTTCCTCACAGAAAAAGGACCTTTGAGTTTTGAAAGGGATCTTGCTTACTTACCACCTTTAAAATTTATCAAAGTGTGTAATACTATGTAATATCAGAATTTGATTCTCAATTTTCAAATTACCCTCTTATACTATTTTATGTATATATTTCGCAATGTAATTCGCGTTCATTATCAAAACGACAGAAAAATTTGAAGCTTTTGAGAATTAATTAAAGGTAAGCTAAAACACAATCTCTGTGTATAAATTTTCTTCAGAAAAAAGTAAACTAATAAAACGATTATGTGATTAACAGCTTTGAAACTTTTTTTTAAAGCTGAAAATTATGAGTAAATAAACATTTAAAGGTTTTTAAGTAAAAAGGATTAATTTAAGAAATTATAAAGATTAAAATCACTAAAAAAATTTAAAATGAAAAATGTAGAATAAAAAATTTGAATGTGGTTAAGAAAACAAAATTTTCCTGAAGAAAATAAAAAGGCAGTGTTTTTAAGAGATTATGTCTTAATTTTACAAAAACGACAATGAGGATGCATTTATAGGAACCAAAAAAAAGACAGGGCTGGCCGCCCTTCTAAAAACGCTTAGGGAGAACACTGGTGAACATTAAGAAGCAGAGCACAATATCATAAATTAATTTATGAACCATGGTTATTACATTTTTCAAAATGTCTAGGTATCATAGGAATATATGGATTAAAGTAATTTTCACAAACTAATTATCACTTTCCCTTATTGTTATTAAGTTATTAAAATTAGTAAATGTGATTAATATCATTGTGATTATTTTTTTACTTCATTTATCCATTTTAAAAAAAATTTCCCTGTATTATACTCAATAGCTACTTGTATAACTTCACTTCCTTAAGCAATTGACCTTATAAAAAGACTAAGTTATCATAGAATTTATTAAAGTTTTGCAGCAGCTCGAAATTTTAAAAGTAATAGTTTTAAAATTATTATCTTTTAAATGATTAAAATATGGATTGTATTCATAACTATCAACTGAAATATTAACTGTTATTCATTTTTATTGTTACTTAGAGGCTTTTGCTGACCTGGGCCTTCATTTAGTTGGGGTGTATGACATTTTATCAAGGAAATTACCTAAGAACAAAATTGTACTGTTGCATTGTCATTGGCGATATTATTATGATCCTCCTGAGTTTCAGACAGTTTTAACAGTAGATGGAAATGATTTATATCATATAGGATATTTCAGGTATTAATTTGAAAATTTTTGTTGCTAGAATTTTGATTCTTTGAAATTTAGTGAAATATTAGACTAAAAGTCTTTTAATCAACTAGTTAATCATTTTTAATGAACTTAGTTTAAAGTATTACCTGTTTACTTTCTAGTAATTAAACAAGTTTTTTTACTAAGAAATTTAAAATATTTGTAACAAAATAGTATGTCCACAGCTAGGATTTTCTTCCAATAAATATTATTAAATAATTAATTTTATGTTAATCTCTGATATTACTACACTTACCAGGATTCCAAATAGAGTGCACATAGCATCAAAATATAATGCCTGTGTATTTTCATGTCAAGAACCAGGTCGGCGAAAAAGGAAACATTGATTCAACTTTTCTGGCATTTTGCAGATTTCAATTTCAATTGAAATTCATCTTTGTTCTTTGAAATTAATATATTTTACTAAAAGTTAGGTTTTCCTTTTATATTAAGGTATTCAAAAATAAAAATATGAAATTCAAAGAATTCTGTGACCCAAGATGACAATTGAATCAATTACATAAAATAGCTCTTTCGATTGTTAAAAAGCTTTGCATCTTCATCACCTTGCTTATATAAAGAAATTTTTGTGAAAAAAGTTTTTATATTTATTTTTTTATGGTTGTAATATTGAAAAAATCTTCTTTTACTTGATTTATGCGTTTTCTTTAATTTTTATGTTTATCATAATATTTTAGAATGTACTAATTTTATTCAAATTTTTTTTCATTCAATACGAAAAAATTAAATATATTTAAAAAAATATTCAGAAATTATTTGCTTATCTATTTGAGGCATCCGGGAGCTTTGTTGTATCAAAATTTTCATCATCCCATTATTTATTTTATTTACTAATAAAAAAACATAGATAACCAAATTTAAAATCATGAAAATTTGATATGTTGAATTTGGGGACTGCCCATTATTGATTGTACAAAAGTGTTTCTGGCATTTTAACTTTTAGAACTTGATTCTTTTTTTTTTTTTTTTTTTTTTTTTTTTTTTTTTTTTTTTTTTTNTTTTTTCTTTTTTTTTTTTTCTTTTTTTTTTTGAATTTTTGGCGAGTCGTTTAACGGAAAAATAATAGATTAGCAATTCCAAAATCCTACTATAATGGAGAAATGAAGAATTATTAATTTTTCTATAATTTTGGACGTACAAAATCTTCTGAGGTGAAGATTCCTTTAATAAAAGACATATGAACCCAACTAAAACTATTTCGAAATTTTCTGTTAATATTATTTTCAAATGGTTAACTAAGGAATTTTCCACTAATTTGTTTAAAACTGTTCAAGTATTGAAATTAGCTATGTTATGATTTGGAAATTATTGAGAATGTTTAATGATTTTGTGTAAACCCAAGTAAACAAAGTATATTAAAAATAAATAAAAAACTTCAAGTTTTGTTATTTTGAAATTGTTAATTTAATATTTAGCAAAGATTTGAAATAGCCAACAGAAGAATCATTATTTAATTTTTAATTGAAATATAGTTTTATTTAGGTTTTCTTTTTTATCTAAATTTACAAGATACCTCTATTAATTTGTTGTTATTGTTGATATAATATAAAATTTTAATGCCTCCCTCTTAGCTAAATTATAATATTGTTTTTAATTTTTTCTAGGGATGATCCTAAAGAATTGCCATCTGTTTTAGCATCCAACAGTGCAAAATTGGGACCTAAACTTACAGTTATGGGTGATAACATTTTTGCTGCAGTAAAGTAAGTGAATATTCTATAAATTATAATTTTTTTTTTTTTTTAGAATTAGAAATATAGTTTGTGTGTGCAAGTTTTAATCATTTTAATTTTTCTCTATTTGGAGTGCTTTTTTGTTAGTTTGTTGATTTATTTGTTGTTATAGCAATTATTTCAAATGAAATTTGTTATTTTGATTTTTTTTTCAAATTGCACATTGAGATTGATGAAACAGGAGTTGTAAATTGCTGTGTTCTGGGAAGAAAGAAAAAAAAAGAATGTCACGGATCTTAAAAACTGTGTGTGTGTGCTCTATTTTTACCCCCCCCTCCAAGTTTGCATTTGAAATAAATAATACTATTAATACTTAATTGATGCTATTCTTATGAGATCAGTAAATGGGATGTGGCAAAGCACCATGTCCATGAGGAAGAAGCAAGCATTTAAAAATATTCAGCTGATGTCAGTGAAACCGTGAAGTAGTGATTTCATATCAGAGCAGCAAAATGTCTGCCAGAAGTGGCTTCTTCAAAAGCAATTTTATTACAAAAAAATAATTTTTTGCATTTTGTTTTAGATTTAGTCCTTTTACATTATTGTAATAGTTGTCTCTTACAAGAAGGCGAAAAACCTATAAAGCTTCGTACTTCAACTTCTGTGTGTCATTATTTTTCGTTAGAATTGTCATTGGCCAATAGCTCTTTCACCCTTTAGTATAAACGTCCTTAAACACATTTCTAGTAACCCCTACTTTAAATAATGAACTGTTACAATGATTTGACCTTAAATCATCTTCTTACAGTGGGCAGACTATATGTATTGTATAAACATTCTCTGTAAAATTTGTTTCACAAGGAATGTAATTCTCTATGGATGCAATAATTAATTTTAGCGATAAATAATAATTTTAAAAATAATTCGCAAAAAAGTAAATGGTTTAATTTATTCTTATATTACTAGATTCTTAATATTTTCTGTACTTAGTTGAAATTCTTGGTAGAATAATTGTGTAAGCTAAAAATTTTATATTAAATAATTCAAAAAATGATTCCGGAGCTGGACAAACTGTTATAAAATGTAATAATCATGTACTATTGTCATCATAAATTATGATTTCATGTAATATTTTTAGACTATCTGAATGCTTTGAATGAGGACCAGTTTTTTCCCCACTAATATATCTCTCGGTTAATAATTTTTGTGAATAAATAATCTTTCTTTTTTATTTTTTAAGGTAGGATTGAACCCAAATTATCGAATTCTATATTAACATACATTAAGTTTATTTTTATGTGATTAAGTTTACTGAGCAATGCAAATAAGGAAAAATGTAATAATTTTGTTTATGAACTGTTAGTACAGTGGAGTCTCTCTATAACGAAATTGATTTATTCCAGTTAAAAAAATTTCTGCAAAGAAAATTTCAATATATAATGATGATGAGGGATTTTTTATTTAAATAAATGTTCAGTGTATTTGGTAAGTTCAAAAGTCTATAATTATGACATTAAATTAAAAATTAAATTACAATTATGGACATAATAAATTTATTAAAATTATTAATTTTTATTGTATAAATATAAATTATGACAATTTATAGCTGGCATAGTTAATCTTGAAGAGTGCCATTTTATGAAGAAAAAAATTTGTAATCTTTTAACATTTCAAATATACTAAAAATTAAAGGGATTCAAAAATTTTATTTATAAGCTAATTATGGCATTTTAGAGAAAATATTTTCTTTTTTTCTTCTTTATGCGTAAATAGTGAAAATTTGTTTTATTTCTTTCTTTAAATTTTGCAAATGCCGGCCAGGTAGCCGAGCTGTTAGCTTGCCTGACTGCGAAGCCAATGGCTGCGGGTTCGAATCCCGCTCTGGGCATGGATGTTTCTCTCTGTTGTGTGTGATGTGTGAATGTGGCCCGCCCTATGAACGGGTTTGTGGCAGTGTGGCATGAGTAATGTTGCTCGCCTCCGTGACTTAGGTTCTCAGGTGCCCACTGGGTAACGCTAAATGAGCAACACTTCCGGCATCTTCCGAGGTGAAAAAGGAGAGTTCAAGTGCCTGCCGTTATTTAAAAAAAATAAATAAAAAATATTTTACAAATATAGATTTTACTGTAATAAACTTTTTTTAAGATTTAGTCAGTTAAGGTTATGTATAAAGTGAAAATTAATGACCTTGAACATTTGATTCTACTCGTCCCGCAGTGGACTGATCGTAAAGAGACGGTATCAGTAGAACACTGAAGTCAAGCATCACTGGCTGTGGTCAGTAAGCGGGTGGGTGGCCTCTATGATCAGTCTGTATAGGGACTGGGGACCGATGGTGCGCGATATCAGTCGTCGTTAAACTGTCCAACTGTAAAGTGCTCAACTTCGTGTTACCAAAGCAGGGGAGCCACCCCCTCTGCGGAGGATCAAAATTGTGATGGCATGTCTTCGGATCATCCTCGCGGATGTTTCTCAGACCGTCGCCAGCTCTAGTTTGACAAATAAAGTACCTACCTACCTATCTTGATTCTACTTAATTATTAAATTGTGAGTAATTAATTAATTTGACTTTTTCAATTTGTTGTTTTTTAATTCAATCTTCAACAAGTCCCCTATATTAAGATTAGTTAAAGATTCTTATTAAATAATTTAGGTGCAGATTTATTAATCTTGAACAATATTTTGATTTCTTTTAAACATTTATTCACTAACATGAGCTGGTCCGAATCTAGAACAATATCTGACAGCGCAGTTGTGTAAGTTTGAAAAATTCCTTGTTAATAGAAATTTCCAATATTATTAATTCAAAGAGTTTTTAAGGATTTTAGCAAAGTTCCTGAAAGCAAAATTAATATTTTTTCAATTTGTGCCACACCATTACCATGGGGTAGTCATTGTATGTGAAAAACGCAATTACTTTTGTGCTGTTAAATCTTATATTGAATGTATGAAAAAATAAGCAAAAAAGGTGTGAAAATAATTCATTTTCACTCCCTTTCTGATTAATTTTACTAAACAGCTCATTAGATAACAATTTATTATATTTTAAGCACAGAGGGATTCAGGCTTGTATTGAACCGAAACATGTATGAATGAAATTATAAATATTATTCAGGGACTAATTAGTTATAATTAGTCTCTGAAATTTGTCCTCTCTCCTTCATCAGATTGAAATTTTTTACCTATCACCAGAAAACATGTTTCTTACTCATCGGCTCAATAAGTTCAATTCCCAACTTGTTGTATTTGAGTCTCTTACAATCTAACTGTGATGAATTTTTGAGAGTTTTTACCCCATGTAATCCTGATATGGGTTAGTTCTTTTAAAAAAGTTTTTCACAAAAGCGATCCAAGAGTTACTCACTCTTTTAGGTTGGGCACTAAATTATAAGGATACTTAGTTTATCTATAAAAAGGGCAAGTACACTATGTAGATTTTCTGTGCAATATTAGTAATATTGCATGAAATTGCTATGAAAACAATGTCCATTTATGCACTATGCCAAATATGTCATAAGTTGTAGAGAGGATATGGAAAATAAGTTGTAACACCTCCACTTGGATGCTTCATTCTCTACTCCAAATTTTTATTTATTTATTTTTTTTGTTGTTGCTGTTAAAAAGTTAGATTAATTTCGATTATCAAATTAAAAAAATTTTTTCTCGATACAGATGTTTGTTCTGTCCTAATTAAAAGCCTTGATAATTCAAATATTATTCTTAACTTTATCTTATTTAATCTTGGTTTTGTCAGATAAAATAATAAAGTGGTTGAGAATTCACATCTTAAATACAGGGATGAGATTTTTCCGCTTTTTAGCGGATTTCCGCTTTTTTCACTTTTATCTCTTAAATTTCAGCTTTTTTATCAAAAATTCAGATTTTCTAAAAATTTCATTTTTTTTTATAAGTATTCCGCTTTTTCAGAAAATTCACCGATTTTCAAAGAGAAACAGAAAATTCAAACTACATAGCTACCAATCCTTTCTCATTTTTACTTATTTTACCTATTTTCTCCCCCTTTACACTCAGCAGATAAGATTTTCTGAATTTTTTACCCGCTCTCCAGATAGATCCGATTTTCGTAGTTCAAATGACGCTGTTTCAAACAAGCCTTTTAGAGGTCCCAAGCCTGGAATCTGCTAATATCTCGATTCTTATTCACACGATTGTAATATCAAATATAGCTTTTCATATTTGCGTGTTGCGATTCTTATTCACGCGATTTGAATATTGTACATTGCGATTCTTATTTACGAGATTTAAAAATCCAATATTGTAATTCGTATTTACGTCTTTTTAAAAACCTATGTAGCGATTCGTATTCACGCAAGTTTAAAATTCAATGTGTTGATTTGCTCATGTGGCTTATAATATCAAACATTGATATTCGTATTTATACATGATTTTAAAATAAGGCATTGGGATTCGCATTCACGCATTCTAAAAGTTAGCATCATAATTCTTATTTATGCAATCTAAAAATCGCGCGTTCATGATTCGCATTTACGCGATCTAAAAATTATGAATCGTGATTTGTATTTACGCGTTTTAAAAATTCTATATCCCAAAAAATAAAATAGCTATATAGATTATAAAATATAGATAATAGATATAGATAATAGATATAGAGATTATAAAAATTCTATATTTTCTCATTTTCAAAATCGTATATCTAGTTTCATATTCATGTGATTTCAAAATCCATAATTACTATTCATATTCACGCAATTTTAAGATCAACTATCACGATTTTTGTAAGAAGTAAATTTTTTTTTAAATTAGTTACTATAAAGGTGACTGTTTTACTAACTACAATTATTAGTATATGTAAGTGTTACAACATTAGTTTTGTTGTCCAATTCAGTATAAAACAACACATAAAAAACAATGCCTCTCTTTCCTAGATTGAAATGTTTAAGTTTTTGCCTAGTTTGACCCCCTGCTCGCTTAACAATTTCAAGATGATAAAAAGCTCACCTTAGAAGAGGGGCAAACTTCAGATTTCCATATTTATTTCAGATTTTCCCATATTATATCTGTATTGCAATTTTTCTGATAACAGGTCCTTAAAAGGATATTAATAAATTTCAATTTTTCAAGTGTCTAAAATTGTCACTCTATACAGTACAAAATATTAAAAGTTACTAATGACTGAAGAACATAATTTGCTTTTATATAATTGTGAAAAATGCAATTTTAAAAATGTTTGAAAATAATGCTGTTATCCTTAAATTAATGTTCTTTCTTTTTCTTAGTTTCGAAATAACAGAAGCTATCAAAAAGTCAAAAGATAAAAAAATGGCAGCAAAATTTAAAGGAATGCAAGACAAGTTGAAAAAATTTGCAGCTGAAGAAAAATACTCTCTAGATATACAATCACAGAAAATCAAAGCCAGGAACAAAAAAATTGTTTCAAAGACTTTTCATGGACTTGGAATTGTGGTACCTGTTGTTAATGATATTGGCTATAGACCATTGCCAGATTCTGATGGTAATAAATTATCTTTTCTTTTAATATGTTTTATTTCTTTCATTGAAAATATCTCTTTCTAGAATAAATCTTTAGCTCATGAGTAACTAGAAGAGGATCTTATATTTTTACAAATCACGTGCACCAAATAATCTTAGCATTCAAAATTTTATAGTTTTAATATAATCATTAAGATAAATATCGATTTCATAACTGTAAGCTATCTTAGTAATTCCTTATTGTTTTATTTTATTTCCTTTTTTTATTGTCACATATTCTGTTTGTTAAAATATTTTATTTTTTTANTTTGCTTTTATATAATTGTGAAAAATGCAATTTTAAAAATGTTTGAAAATAATGCTGTTATCCTTAAATTAATGTTCTTTCTTTTTCTTAGTTTCGAAATAACAGAAGCTATTAAAAAGTCAAAAGATAAAAAAATGGCAGCAAAATTTAAAGGAATGCAAGACAAGCTGAAAAAATTTGCAGCTGAAGAAAAATACTCTCTAGATATACAATCACAGAAAATCAAAGCCAGGAACAAAAAAATTGTTTCAAAGACTTTTCATGGACTTGGAATTGTGGTACCTGTTGTTAATGATATTGGCTATAGACCATTGCCAGATTCTGATGGTAATAAATTATTTTTTCTTTTAATATGTTTTATTTCTTTCATTGAGAATATCTCTTTCTAGAATAGAGCTTTAGCTCATGAGTAACTAGAAGAGGATCTTATATTTTTACAAATCACGTGCTCCAAATAATCTTAGCTTTCAAAATTTTATAGTCTTAACATAGTCATTAAGATAAATATCGATTTCATAACTGTAAGCCATCTTAGTAATTCCTCATTGTTTTATTTTATTTCCTTTTTTTTATTGTCACATATTCTGTTTGTTAAAATATTTTATTTTTTTACCTTCTTTGTGTAATATTTTATTTATGTCTCAGTTTAGTCACCTCCTTCTTCTGACATTTCATCCGGATTCTTTTGGACATTAGGCCTGAGTGCATTTTTGTATAACAAATTGAATTCTTGCAATATTTTTTAGAGGAAAATGTTATATTTTTACTGATGTAATTTTGTAACTGTATTAATATCTGTTTAAATATTTCTTACTTAAAAAAAGTTATAAATTTTTACTTTATTGATTCGAATTATATTTATATATATATATATTATTTAAAACATTTATTTCAATTATGCTATCAATTCAATGTATCGCTACTTTGTATCACTCTGTTTATTTATTTTCAATCAACTATCTATTTATACACTATTTTTTGTAATACTCTATCTTTTATATTGATAATTAAGCATATTAAGTAATTTATCGATCAGCACTAAAAATATATTCATTTTTTTTTTAAAATAATTTCGAGTGCCACCCCCCTAAAATGAGTTAAGTGAAGTAAAATTTGTCCATCTTTGAAAAAAATATTTTAATAGCATTATGATAATCTTTATGAAATTGTGGAAAAAACTGCTGTTCAAATAAAAAATAACTGTTCAATTTCCAAAGGCAAAATGTAATTTTTTTGAATTTTTCATACTCAACATTCAATACATTTTAATTATTTTAAACCTATTTATTTATTCTGATAGTGTATCATGTCAACTTGCTTTAAAGTTTAAGCTACTTTTCATAATTTGAGTTTTGTTGGCTTGCATGTAGTCTTGATCTCGGCAAGGTTAGTTGTATGTTTAGATGGCATTAATTGGTTAAGTGTTAATTTTTTTTTCTCTGTATTCTCAATATATTTTTTTCTTTTCTGAAACAGTGATTTGAATGATTTACTGTGTTTTAATATTAATGTGATTTAAGTATTTCAAAATCATTTTTATTGCATTTTATTTTTGCAAAACTAAAGGGCTTCGCACCCTGCTCATTGTTGCTTTCCAACCCCAAATAAATTATGTGCAATTTTTTTTTCCTTGTGTCGTAATAAGTTATTTTATCGGGAATTTTTTACAGTTTCACCATAAAATAGTTTTTTCTACTAAAGTTCAAACAATTTCTTTACTGAAAAGAAAAACTAAAAAAAGTACTAAAAAAATTTTTCTTCCTACATCGAAATTTTTTTCTTATTCTATTAAGATATATTAGTGAACATAACTAATTTCGGACAGTAACCATTTTTTAAAATAAAGTTTATTTTTATAAAAAAATTGGAGTGTTTACAACCCTTATTTAATATTTTCATTTATTGAATTAAATAATAAGCAAATATGTAAAATAAGTTATTTTCGATATATTAAATTTGTGCATGCATCATATTGTGGATATAGCATTGGCGATAAATTATTTAACGAATTTCTTAAATGTTTCTTTTAAGATAGCATATTAATGGAATTTACATCAAAAAATTGTACAAATTTCAAAATGTTAATATGTTTAGTTTCAAAACGTTAATATGTTTTAAACGCTAGTAATTCAAATAAGTTTATCTTAAAATATAGCACGATAAGGTAAATTCGTAGAATTACGTTTTACTTGTTTAGTTTTAAACTTATTTAAAAAAAATCACAAGCCTAATAAATACTGAATAGAATAGTAAAAATAATTATTACTGGAAAATATTTTAAATTAGGGGTACATATATATTTTATAGGAAAACAATACCTTAATGACTTTTCTTAATTTTAGTTGATGACAACCAAAAAATATAGAAGTTAGTGAAGGAAAACTAAAATTTTACAATGTGATTTTATAGCAAATTACCTTTTCAAATAGCAAATTTCCTTTTAAATAGTGCACATTCTGCCATTTGCATCTCATTGATAAGAATTGAATTAAAAAGTTTTTTTTACACTCTGCATTTAATAAAAGCAATTTCAGAAACTAAAAATTAAAATACATTCCTTTTATGAAATAATTTATATTATTTATGCTCTGATAATTCTGCCTCTCAAAAATCGTATGCTTTTTAAATTGCAAATCAATCTCTTTATCTTATTATGTAAGGAAATGATTTGGAAAAAGAAAATTTTTGTTTCTGTTTTTGTTTGTTTAAGACAAAAGAAGCAGTTTCTCCATCACATTATGTTAGGAAACATTAATAATTACATTGTTCAATACGAACGTAAAAACAAACTTCTGTTTTAGACAAAGTAAATATTGCACCAAATGAAAAAAAATTCCTTATTGTGAACTTTGTAGTTAAATTTTATGTTGTGGCTAGTGTAAATGCTTTTCCTGTTGTTCTTGACGTCGGCCATTAAGGCAGAGGGGGTGCAATTGTTCTTGTTTTCCAGTGGCGCCACCTATGGCCAAGAATTCGACTTCTGACACACCCATATGTTACACCCGTTTATAGGGTGGACCCATTCATACATACATTCATTCATCCCCAGATCGTAATTTTTCACCTGAACCAGAGAGCAATCAATCTGCAAATCAGTTCCCCCAAAGGTATTGATTTGTTATGGGGACATTGAGAACTTTGTGAACCAACAGATTAAACGTGCGCCAGTCATTGCTTACTGCAAGGGGAGTCTTCAGCCGACTGAATTCAACCTCCTGTTCTCACAAACGTGAGTTCAGCGGTCTGCCAACCAGGCTATCCTTGCCCTTCACAATGCTTTTCCTGAACAGGACGGACAAATGAGGATAGTGCATTTGCTCTTGAAACTGCTGTGGAGTTTGCCATTGGTTCCCATCAATCTACAATAGGTGACATCACTACTTGAACACAGAGAAAGATGAAGAAAAATTGCTTTTTTAACCGGCTGATAATGAAATTCTTCTGTGAGGCATTTCATTTAGTTGCCAAGCACCTTGTTGGTTTTTTATAAGAATATGACAGTATATTTTATTGTTATCAATTGTGTATTTGTGTGAATTTTGGCTTGTGTGTTTGTAGGGTGGTATTAGGAATTTATCTATTTGAGTACTTATTAACTTTAAGAGACCGTAAAATATTTTGTCTGTAGGTACCATTTGAATTCTTTGCTTTTGTGATTAGTTTTTTTGAAATCATTCTTAATATATTTTGCTGTTTTATGAGTTAATTTGAAAAGATTTTTATTATCCTATAATTTCCTCTTAGGGAAATTCATTTTAGATCTTTAAAGTAGTAGTTAGGAGAGAAGAAATTGCTTATACCATATGTTTACTTTCAGTATATCACACTATTAAAATAGCTAGTAAATTTATTACTTGTTTTTTCTTTCATTTAATTGTCGAAAGATTTAGTTTATCCCTCCTTAACACCAGGGAACAATTTTGAACCAGTATCTNTCTTTGCTTTTGTGATTAGTTTTTTAAAAATCATTCTTAATATATTTTGCTGTTTTATGAGTTAATTTGAAAAGATTTTTATTATCCTATAATTTCCTCTTAGTGAAATTCATTTTAGATCTTTAAAGTAGTAGTTAGGAGAGAAGAAATTGTTTATACCATATGTTTACTTTCACAGGGTGGCCACCCTTCTGGAAAACCTTGAAAACCTGGAATTATCAGGGAATTTTTTTATACTGGAAAAAACCTGGAAAAGTCAAGGAAATTTGGATAAAAACCTGGAAAAATTGGGGAATTTTAAAGAAAAGCTGGACATTTTTTTCTTAAATATTTTTTTAATTTCACTAATTTAAATTAGTTAATCATTTTCTTAATTTAAATTATTTCATCCATTATACTCACATTTTTTAGACGGAAATGTGTCTCCAAACAGTTAAAATGTTATCAACTTAGCTATACTTTGCTTGCATCAAAATTTGCTCTATTATAACCCTGTTAAACTAGAATGCCACATAAAATTCTCCCATAGTGGAACAAATGTAGAAATCTTTGATCTCTATGGAGACTATGCGACTGCGCAATTTAGGAAACGCAAAGATTGTAGTGGACGTGGAAGAAGGGGTTAGGATATTTGCTTCTATTTTTAAATTCTGTCCGTGGGAAAACTTGAGCCATTTATGGCTCAAGTTTGTTTCGATGCTTTAGTGGTAATTTTTTTCTATTTTGACAAAATGTGTCAAAATGTTTTTGCATTTTTAACTTTATTAAAATATCCAAAAATTTGTTGGGTATAATTAATAATAGATTTTACATTGCACTCTTTCTCTGAAAGCTTTTGTACTCCCATTCAAAGAAATCTGTAAATTATTTTTTTTCTCCAAACCAACAAATCAGTTTTTTTACAATTGCTAACATCAATGTTTGCCTACAAATTGTTGCATTAATGCTAATTTATTCTATTTCATTTTTACCTTTTATGACATATTTTAATTTAAAAAAGAAAGATTTTTTTAGAACTAACTATATATTAAAATTTAATTTTACTGCTTGTTGATAAATATTTGATTTTTAATTCAAAATTCGAATTGTATAGTTATCAGTAAAAAGCTGACAAAGACTAAGGAATGTATAGGAATCATAAAAAATGATGTATAAACATAAAATATAATTTTTTTATTCATATGTGTTTAGTTGGAAGAAGGAAAATGGAACTTATGTGTTTTAGTTCTGTTGTCACTTGTTAAACCTTGTAAAGATTCTTGTTGTTAAAACAAAAACAATTAAATATACTAAACTTAATAACTGTGTACAGTTCTGTGCTGTACAAGATTCTTGTTGTTAAAACAAAAACAATTAACTATACTAAGCTAAAAAACTGTGTTTGGATTGGAATTCTTTAAATGTTTTAATTTCAAATAAGGAAAAAAATCAAAAAAGTATAAAATTTAAGGAATTTTATCTATTTTTTTTTTCTTTAGAGTATAGAACAAAAAATTAGACAATTTTAGATTTGTGACATTTATTATTGTATTTTGAATCTCTGGAAATAAAAATGCTAATTCAGAGCAACATTATTTAAAAGTTTGTCTTGAGATATTGATTTAAAGAAAATGTTATCAATGAATTTTATTAAAATACTGGTAAGATAAAATACAGTATTATGTAGTATACAGTACAGCTTTATATTGAAATGTAATTACAGTGACTCACAAGCAAAAGTGTTTGTACACTTATGACTTTCAATGAAATAAGACTATCCATTAATTAAAATGAATATTTCAGAATGGATATTTAATAATAAAAAATGTATTCTAATCGTAACAAAACTGTATGGAATATTTTAAAAACAAAGGAAAAGTTTATTTTGAAGAAATCAATCATCAAAAAGTGACAAAAACTTTATCCCACAAAAGCCATTGCACACTTTCAAAAAAAAAAAAAAATCTGTTTTAGTAAATATTCTAATTTTTCATTAAATCAACATTTAGTAGTTTCCTTTCGCATCTACTATAGCTTTTATAAGTTTGTAAATATAAACTAGTTTTTTTTTGTCAGGAGAAATTTGTTCGGAATATTTTTTAAAAAATTTTACAGAAATTTTTGCATCACTCTATTGCAAATTTTTTAATTTTTCCACAAATTTTATAATTTTAATCTCTGATATGAAGTCCTCCTTTTATGCATTTTATCATATATTGCACAGTGCATACCTCTTATGATGGCAAATAACCAAATTTGGTCTATTGTTTTATTAGGACCACGAGCCGTTTTTAAATGATAAAATATTACGAAGTTAGTAAGCAAAAATTAAAATATAATTTTGCTATGATAAGTTTGATACTAAATTTCAAAAAAATAAATAAGAAATTAAATGAATAATAATTAAATAAAAAAATTAAAGCAATTGAAGATAATTTTAATTCTGAAATCCGAAAACATTTAACTGACCGATGGTTTTCGTCGGGTAAAATGTTTGTTGCTATTTGATTATTGATATCTTAAAAATTAACTTTTGCTTTGTTTTTAAAATATTCCATGCAGTTTTGCTAATAATAGATTACACTTTTTATTATCAAATACCCATTGTTAAGTATTCATTTTAATAAATGAATTTTTATTTCCTATTTCAATAAAAGTTATAAATGAGGGAACACTTTTGGGAGCCACAGTAATTATAAAAATTTATTGATATATAATCACCTGAAACGGTTTTCCTTTACTTAATGAAAATATATTAAACAATACTTAAACAAGGTTTTATTGGTCATTCTGTTTTTGCCATTTTGTAGGTACACTTTGAGCAAATACTACTTAAAGTAAAACATTAAAAAAAATTTATTCAATAAAAGCAATATATCCTACAAGCTGAGCATATTATTTTCTTCTGTGTCTTAATTTTTTAAAAATTAATGTTGTACCAAAGCATTAAAAAACAAAATCTTGTCAAAAGAAAATTTTTTTTTTCAAGATATGTTAAACAAATGACTTTTTGAATAAAATATTTTATAATAACGACATTTTTCTTGTACATGTCCTACACTTTATAAGCAAAAAAACACGGACCTGAAAATTTTAAAATTTTTACCTGGAAATATCAGGGAAATTTGAAATCTGATTTGAGTGGCCACACTGTTTCAGTATATCACACTATTAAAATAGCTAGTAAATTTATTAATTGTTTTTTCTTTCATTTAATTGTCGAAAGATTTAGTTTATCCCTCCTTAACACCAGGGAACAATTTTGAACCAGTATCTGAAAATACAGTATATTATCTGGAAATATTTTGTTGTTTCAATTATTTTAAGCTTGTAAAAAATCTAAATCACATTGTCCTTTCACTGTTGAAAAGTTTGTATATGGATTATGAATGTTGGTGAGAAGTTTTTTAAAGTCTTGTGTGCTCCCACTCACATGTGCAGATTTGATGGAACGTTCCAAACCATCATATGTTGATTAGTTTTGTTTTTTTTAAACTGTGTTTACTTAATATTTTTATACCAACTCAATGTATTATTTTTGAAATACTTTTATTTATGGTCTTATCCATTTAAATATGTTTTTTTCTTTTCTTAACAGCAACAATTAAAAATATTCTTCGAAGGATTGCTTCAGCCGAAGATGAGAGCAAGAGACTGGATGAGGAAGAAAAATTGGATGAATTAATATCGAACGTGCAGTTTGCCAATGATGAATGTGATTATGGGATGGGACTTGAACTTGGCATTGATTTATTTTGTTTTGGTGATCCATATTTTCACTCTCATATTTCTCATTTATTACCTTTAGCATATAATCTCTTGAAGAGAGAAAAATATGCAGAAATTATAAAAGCGCACTTACAAAAAAGGAAAAAGTCAGGTCTATTTAATGAACTTGACACATGATATCACATAGTTTAATATTTAAAGAAATCAGGACCTGCAAAAAAATAAAGATATCTTTTATATGAATTTCAAATCATGTATCTGGCATATATTGCAGATAAATTGTTTTAATTGCTTTTAGCTTTTATTTATATCTACATTTTATACATCCCCCATAATATATTTATATCAGACCTATAGTTTTGTTATTTTCTCACGCTTTACCGAATAACTAGATTGCCTGATGAAGTAAATAGATCAATTTACTTCTGTATTATCCTATTTTAAGCTGTATAAATTTTTACCCTATGTATACCCTATTTTAAGCTGTATAAATCATTGTGTTCCTTGTCTTTGTTATAACCTAAATTTTATCTATAATTTTTAAATTTACTCAAATGAATTTAATTGTATTTATATTATTTTACAATTCAGTGCCTCATTGTAAATGTTGTCATTTGTGTCTATAATTCATTGTATCATATATGTCTAAAGCAAATAGTGCTAAAAAAATGTGATAGTTGTTGCAGAACAATCATAACAGTTAATGTTTAGTGCAGAATTATGTATACCCACTTTCCTGAAGAACAATTTTGTCTAAGTTGCACTATATGCTGTTAAAAAAGTTGCACTATATGCTGTTAAAAAAGTTTGTTTCATTATATTGGCTTTTAAACGCTGTTTAATATTGACTATTTAAGATTCCTTTAGTCTGCAAAATGAAATTATTTGTAATTTAAAAATATAGTAATAATTTAAATAATGTTGCTCGTAGCACATTTGTAATACTGAAAAGTCTTATAGCAGTAAATTAGATATAATTCTATGCTTGAGGTCAAAGAAATATAAACCTTTATATCAGACTGTTTTGTGTTTAACGTTATGTTGAAAAAGTTTTTTTTTAGTACAGTTGTTATGCAATGCTATGAAATGTTGAGGGTATGTTAAATGAAGGAAATATTTAAATCTTGAGAAAATATTAAATATTCTAATTTTATTGAATCAGAGTAAGTTGGTTAAGCATTTTGTGAAAATGTTATCAAATAAAATTTATTTTTAAAAAACTAAAACTAAAAATTTCATTGTTCTTTCTTTCCATTAAATAAGTTATTGTGTGATAAACACTACCAAATCCAAAAAAACATAAAGTGTCTTTTAGAAAGTTCAACAAAAATTAGAGATGTACCAATGCCTAAAATTGTATAGGGTCTGGGTACCCAGTGAAATTTTAATCTTTTTTCACGGCCAGTTCGAGAATACAGTGAAATTTTTATCTGTTATTCAGCCAGTTTACGGTATTGACAAAAAGTTTTTATTATTACCGACCAGTTCCAGGTATCCAGGAACTATAATACCCAGCAATGCATTATAGTATTTCAGTTAAACAAAATAAAAATTGTATAATTTGCTATTGAACAAATATTTTGTGACATGCAGTTCTTAGAAAATTTTTTGAGCAGCTATATTAATAAAAAAAATTTTTATTTTCAAATTTTTTTTAAATATCCTAAAGTGTTCATTTTACTGAGGCTTTCCTGATTTAAAATACTACACAAGACCAAAATATGTCCCACATTAACTATTTCAGCTTTGTTATTAAAAAACTGATATAATACTTAGATTTCTAAAACAGCTATAATTTTTGTAACAGTTCTGAGGTTACTATAAATTTGCTGATTTAGAATTTTTGTTTTACTGGGTAATAAGAATTTTTTTTCGGTTCAAAGTAAGGAAATTTAGCTAATTGTAATAAAAAATAAGCATGCTTAGAACAAATTCTGGCAATACTAAATATCAACTACTTATCTAAAAAGGAATGTTTTGAATTATGAATTGTATAAGAATTAATTTTATGAATTCTTTTACGTGTAATGAAGCTAACTTTAATGAGTTTTACTAAATTTTTACAGAATAGTGGAAGAATTTTAAATGAAGAAATGTTATAAATTCTTTTGCACCTTATTTTTAAAAAAGTTGTTAAATTTTGATTTGTAATTTGTTGAACATTAAGTACTTCTTTGAATTTGTAAGTCTATTTTTCCAATTTAATCTTAGCAATTTTCAAACTCCTCCATTTGTTTTGATTTTCCGCATTTTAATTCCCAAAAATGTTACTGATTTATTGCGCGGAAAGTTTTTGGCCGACGGGGATCAAACTCATGACCACTTCAACATAGCCCAACGCCCTACCAACCAGGCTATCCTGGCCCCTTATAAAATATAAAACATAATATGTTAAGCAATTGACTTTTAATTATAAATAAAAAATTCATATAATTTGCTTTAAAGTTAATGAAGAGAATTTCTTGAACATTGTGAAATCATATATTCATGGAAGATAAATGCACATTTCAAGTATTTTTATTTTTCATTGAATGAATTCTTTGTGTGTCTTATAATGTTATTAAAATTGTCCACATGTAATTTTTTTATACTTTTTTGCTTTTGAAATAAACAAAGCAACGATCATAACATTTGTTATAAAGCATTCTAATTATAGTATTATGATTTTAATCCATTGATCCAGATGGGACACCAGTGTTCTTTTATTTTTTTTCCTGGCACTCTAAATACAAGCAAAAATATATTTTGGTATTTTTATAAATTAAAAATGAGTCTAATAGTTATTAAGAAATCTGTTTGATTGTCGGAATTATATTTGTACTAAAATATAAAATACAAAAATTTTAGTCTACAAAATTTTTCTTTTTAAAAAATTGATTATTAATTGATTTTATAAATGAAAAAAATTTCGATGATGAATTGCTGTTTCTTTTAGAGCTAAATATCTGCATATAAGTGCAAATTTGAAAAATTATTTGGAAATGAGCAGTTTTTGGATGATTTTACCTTTAATGCAGAAAAATATATGTGTTTCATACTGTATTTCATAACCATTAATTATTAAAATGCTAAATATATTTTTTTCACTTATTTTTACCTAAATTAATACAAAATAATGATTGTATGAAAAATCAAAGTTTGGAAAATGAACACATAATTTCATTATATGTTCATAACATGATTTATTTTCTCTTTTGTAATAAATAAAATTTTAATAAAATAAAATAATAAACAATCAAATATTAAATGAAATATGTTTTTGGTAATTGTAACAATGCAAAATATAATCTTAATCTCAATGACATGCATTAAACTAAAAATTTTAAATAACAAGAAGTCCCTCTTCATTTATATTGATTGAAATATTTAAACATAACCAAAAAAAATGTTGGCTTTTTAGTCCTTAAGTGATTGTACAGTACAAACTTAACCAAAAATTTGAAATATTCTTTTTAGTTCAATTGTTATAAGAGAAGCAGTGAAATATTGGCAAAATAAATGGGATGTTGTGTTTTTCAACTCTTATTCTGAATTAATAGTTTTCTGTCAAACTATATAAAGCTGCACATTTAAACATTGCTTTTTGTAACAGGTAGAGTAGATGTAAACAGGTGTAATCTTTGATAAAAAATCTCACAAAGAATCCAGAATAATTTGGTCTTTAAAATCCTGATTTGCAGATTTTTTTTTTAGAAATTTATTTATTTATTTTAAATTTATTTTGCCATACTTTGTTTTACGATCTCATGACATTCGGTCATATCATTACTGATCTTCGACTTAACATATTTTTGAACATATAGTTTCAAAGTTAAAGTTATTAAATGGTCAGTTTATAATTTCAAAGAACTATTAGGTTTGATAAATCTAAATAAAATTGAATGGAAATACGATTTGAACTGGTAAAATACGAGAAAACTCATTTGGTGATTTAACTCAAGTATGATTTATCAAGTGGGCATTATTTAAAAAATAAAAAATGCTGATTTTTTTCTGGGCTCAGCCTATTTTTGATGAATCCTAAATCACAAGTACTTTGAGAGATGATTTTTCATAATTCAGTATTTTTTTAACAGTGTTTTCAGTATCCTATTGCATAATTGCACTTTAATATCTCAAAATGTGATGACAAATTGGCATCTCTAAGCCGTATTAGTATTTTTCATTCTGATTGGGCTATTTGCATGCTTTGTTGAAAATGTAACAAAATATTTAATTTTATGAAGTGCAGTTTAAAAAAATATTGTACAAATTTGCACTAATATTATTTTTAATATAAATATTTTGTAAAGATGTCATCCTGTTTAAAGAGGAATACAATTTGTATTTGTGCTGCAATTTTTTTAAAATGCAATTGATTATCAAATACTTCGATGAAAATGTGACAAAAATTTTAACAGCACAAGGGATAGTTTAGGAAATATTGCAATAAACTTGCATCTCAACCAATATATTTTCCACATAAATATTTTCTACTAGTCATTCTGCAAAATAGAGTTTTATATTTGAGTGATTATTTTTGCAGGAAATGTCATCCAAATTTTAAATCTTTTTTTTTTTTTTCTTCTTTTTTTTAATGCAAATATGACACTTTTGAAATTTGCATTGCAAAACAGGTTTTTTTTCTGCATTATTCGAAAGTTTATTTGAACTTTGTTTTGTTTAGTAGTGACATATTATATGAGTGTAACTGTTTTTAGGACTGATAGTTAACTGATAAAAACGAGGCTGTGTGGTTGTAATTTTAGCGTGTTGAAGAAAACTGTAGAGAGTAATTTTTAAAAATTTTTTGCTCAAATCCATTACATTTGGTTATAAATATTTTCTACAAAATTTTAATAAAATCAGAAGTTGAATCCTAAATTTTTTTTTTTTAATTCAAATGTCACTATAATTTAGACATCTCTGAAAACCTTTTCAAAACTAATTTTGCAAACTAGCATTGTGAGACAAATATTTTTTTATATTTAAATGGTAATTAAAAGATGTAGTTTAGTTTGTCCAACAACTTAATCTCATTCAAAATAAAATAGTTAGTGTCATACTTTCCTGATTTGCTTTTTTTATAATCATTGTCTTAGTACAATTTTCTTCTGAAGTTCACAGTGACCAAGACGAGCACAGATTTTTGTAGACTTCATGTTCAAAACAAATTAGTTTAAATGGTGTCATGCTTTTCTAATGTGCTCTTCCAATAAAGAAGTTGATCATTCTTAGTTCTGCGAAGAAATGTCATTTTTCTTCTGACATTCACAATAAACAAGATGAACACAGATCGAGGACTTCATGTCATCTAAAACAAATTAGTTTAGACGGTATCATGCCTTTCTAATGTGCTGTTTGCTCTTCTAATAAAGCAGTTGATCATTCTTAGTTCTGCAAGAGATCATGCACAATAAGCAAGACAAACACAGATCTTCAAAGACTTCAGGTCATCCAAAACAAAACATTTTAAGCAGTGCTATACTTTTCTAATGTGCTCTTTGCTCTTCTAATAAAGCAGTTGATCATTCTTAGTTCTGCAAAAGGAATGACAATTTTCTTCTGGCATTCGCAGTGACCAAGACGGACACAGATCTTTGAGGATTTCACACTTATTAATCTCTTTTCCATGCATTCAAAACGCTTTTCCATTGTATTTGTTTCTTGGCGGAATTTTTCTAATCTAAACTCACCTAACTTCCGCACTCTTTCTTTAATTTTCTCTGATTGCATAAATTTCTGAGCTGCGTAATTCCGCTTTTTAGGCAATTCGAAGCAGACAACGTGTGTTAAATCTGAAGAACTAATACCGAGATCAGATCGTCGAATCTTCATCCTGTTTTCATTTATTCTAAAAAATAGGGTAGGATATTCATAACATAAGAATATTAACTTTAATTTTGTCCTTGCTTGTTTAGTTCTAATCAAATTACTTAAAATCTAATTTTCACTTAGATACTTCCATTATACGCTTCCACAATTATTTAAGGTCTTGGATTAGTGAAATTTCGTCAAATATGTCCTGCATCAAGCTATACCCAATTATGTTAAGTTTTGCTGCATCATTATTAGATAAATATCAAAATTAAAAGCAAAGAAAGTTCCATCACAATTTCATGTTCGCCTTGCCTTACGTCGGAATACTGAAACTGTAACTAAATCTGAATACTTTTTATTAATCCTTCTCATTGCGTGAGGGAATATGTGCATTAGAAATCGGACAAAGAGTAGTGATTGAAAATCACGACATGTGTAACTTCAGAATGTCATTGATTTTCCCCTCCCTTCAAATTAAGGGCAAGGCAAAGTCATTCGCGAAACTGCCTCTAGTCACACAATCTATCAAGATATCTTTTATTTATCTATTTAAAGAAAAATAGGACAGATGATAAGATTATATCATGACTATAATATTTTATCGAACCATTTTTAGCTTGCATAAATATTAATTAGATTACTAAAATTATTTTTCTTAACCCAAGTACTACATGAAGGTAAAATAACAATTATAAATATTAAAAAAATTATAATATATTTTATATTTTAAAATATTTGGTTAAATTTTAATATTAAATACGAGTTGCATAATTGTCTGCTTTTCTAAAATTGTATCAATATTTTCTATAATTTATGCATTAGAATACTTATTTGCGAAACAATGCTTTGCATGTCTTTTCCGCATATATTGAATAAATTGTATTGGAATAATTTTTCAAAATACATGATTTCGCTTGTCTATCCCGCATATATTGAATACTTTTTTTAAAATTGTATTAGAATACTTTTTTGAAAGAGATGACTTCGCATGTCTATGCAGCAAAAAATTAGAATATTTTTTTAATTGTATTAGAATAATTCTTCGAAATACATGATTTCGCATGTCTATTCCACATATATTGAATACTTTTTTTAATTGTATTAGAATACTTTTTCGAAAGAGATGTCTTCGCATGTTTGTGCCGCAAATATTGAATATTTTTTTAATTGTATTGGAATAAATTTTCGAAATACATGATTTCGCATGTCTATCCCGCATATATTGAATACTTTTTTTAATTGCATTAGAATATTTTTTCTAAAGAGACGACTTCGCATGTCTGTGCCACTAATCTTGAATATTTTTTTAATTGCATTAGAATAATTTTTCGTGATACATGATTTCGCCTGTCTATTCCGCATATATTGAATACTTTTTTTTAAATTGTATTTGAATAAGTTTTGAAAGAGATGACTTCGTATGTCTGTCCCTCAAATATTGATTTTTTTTTAATTGTATTAGAATAATTTTTTGAAAGACTTGATTTCGTATGTCAACCTCGCATATATTGAATACTTTTTTTTTAATTGTACCCGTATTAGAATATTTTTAAGAGACATAACTTCGAGCATCTATCACACATACATCGAATAATTTTTTAAATTTTACTAGAATACTTTTTTGAAAGAGATGACTTCGCATGTCTGTCTTGAAAATATTGAATACTTTTTTAATTGCAATAGAATACTTTTTGAAAAGACATGATTTCGCAGGTCTATCCCGCATATATTGAATTCTTATTTTTTAATTGTATTAAATTGCTTGAAAAAGAAAAAAGAAACATGACTTTGCACGTCTACCTTGCATACATTGATTTTTCTTAAAAATTTTACTTATTAAAGAATTTAGAA